ATTAGGTCGACACGACGGCGACTCGACCTGTCGATGAGTGCTGCGTACGCCCAACTTGCAGGGGGAGGCAAGACAAAACAGGCCCCATGGCCAGAAAAATGTTTCGGTGAACGGAACAGAGAGCGGCTCATCACCTCAAAACGAGCATCATTATACTGAAAATATAGCTGGTTAGGGATGATTAGGCGGTTGGTTTATGAAGTACTTACCGGATAAAGACCGGACTCAAGCCGCATCGTACAATGAATCTCAGTGCTCAACTATCAAAGTATACTCTGGAATCTTGACTCTTTCTACTGATCTTGAAAACGCAGCCCGGGCACACATGATATTCAGAGTGATTTTTTTCTCACTTCACAAAATATAACACTTGTTCACGAAGTTTTGCATGCAGTTAGACGATGGGAACATGAATATTTAAAAAAAAACAAAGTCTGCTAATTTACTGTTCATCTTTGCCCTTTTTACGTGGCTCTTTTTGGTGAACAGGGAGGCCTCTCCCCGGTTCCATTAACAAGAATGAAACCATACAGCGTCTGTTTCTTACATCCCAGCTATTGCTCCGAGAGGTTCATGCTCGTTTGATTCGTAGGACTTTAAAAACAAAGGATCGCAATGTCATGGCTATATGAATCCTACAAAAAAGAACCCTGCCATGGTAAACAAACCGACAGAAAAGTTAACCTGTTCTTCAACACAGTGTCTGCCCATAAGCAGCTAGGCCAAGGCCAGAAAGACGAAAGCCGGTGCCACCAACATCGACATGAGGACTTGAACAGCCCAGATCGTATTGTACTTGACTACTTGTACAACTCCTTTCTGGTAGACCCAGGGTGTAAAGAAGCCGAGCCATGGGCAGATCACGCGCGCACAACCAACCTCATGTGTCATGTGTTTTGCTTTCTTTGCGACTGCAATTGGTTTGGCCATGTCCGTTAGGTGCAGTCCTGGACCTGCCCAACCTCTTGCGCTGGATCTTTCGTCGGAGGTTCGGCCCAGGTTGCGTGCACAGCTTGACCGAGAGCGAGGTATCAGGAGCTGAACAATGGCGTGTGGATCCCCGGTTCGCTGGAATCAGAGCGGGCTCGTATGGTGCACATCACTTTCAGGCTTGGTAGCCGGAGGAAGTATCATTTTCTTCAGAACTTCGGTTCAGCTTTGACCAGTGCCCCGGCTAGCCGCTGCTGCAAAATGCCTAACTGACCGATGATTGCGGAACCGACAGCGGGAGTCATTCCAAGCTGGGAAAGACTTGTAACTTTCAAACTTGGAAAGGTGCTTCATTTTCCATGGGTTTTTTATTACAAGGAAAGGAAGTGGTCATTTTGTGATGGTGTCAGTTCAGATTCTTTATTGTTTTCTCTTCTGTATTTTTGTAGCAGCTAGCTTGGCATAGCATGTGTGGCCTTGTGAGTTTTGCTTCATGATTAGACCACACTGCGCCAAGAAAAGGCGTGGGCAAGTTGAGGAAGAGACAAGGGGGTTAGTGGGTCGTTACGGGCTGGCGGTGAGTAACAGTGGGGGTGACCTGCTCGAGGCCGTGGATGCTCCTCAATTATTTCTTGATTCGTGATTCATTACTACTACGCCTGATCACGCTGAATTAGATTAAACCGGATTGTCCGAAACAATCGGTGCCACCACTAGGCCGCTGAAGAAGAGCTACGAAGACTTTGTATTGTATAAAACGGTGTGGTGTGGTTTCGAGGAGATTCGATTACTCAGAGATCTCCCAAGTTCCTAGATGGTGATCACAGTCGAGGTCAACGCCATGCCATATTTGCAGTAAAGAAATCTTGCTGTGATAATCCAAGAAGATGAGAGACACGCCTTCATCAGATTTGTGTATGGCATTCTTTTCCCTGCCTTCCTTTTTTCTGCTAACCTAAGGCTTTCATCAGTCCAGTCATGCTCGTTACTTACAGACACGCTTGGGCACCGGGCCGCATAAAAGTGTTCGTCTGGCTCCTCCTCCAAAACCGGCTATGGTGCAATGATCGCTTACAGAGACGCGGATGGCCAAACCATTATTTCTGCCAATGCTGCCTTCGAAACCTGGAATCCTCTGCCCATCTATTTTGGCAGTGCGATGTGGCTCATGCTGTCTGGACAAGGGCAGCCACCTGGGTTGGATGCCAAGCGTTTAGCAAGCACAACCAACACCCCAATGCAAAATCAAGTGACATCTTCTTGGCCATGATCGAAGCGACACCACCGATCTTCAGGAAGGCCATGAAAACGCCTGGCCATGTTTGCAGTAAAGAAATCTTTCTGTGATAATCCAAGAAGATGAAGACACATCTACATCAGATCTGCGCATGACGTTCTTTTCCTTCTCTTTCTTTTTTTCTGCTAACCTAAGGCTCTGATGAGTCCAGTCATGCTCATTACTTAATAATACTCCCCCCAAAGTTGTACTAAAGCAGCGTCAATTAATTGAAAGCGGAAGGAGTAACTCATAATTTTTTGTTTGTTGCTGAAACTGGTGTTTCTTTCACACCCTTATGTCCAGCCAAAAAATAAAAAAACTTAACGCTTGTCATGTGTATGTGTGGCATCTTGCAAGTTGCCAGCTCCAGAAATTCAGATTCGAAGAAAGAGGTATCTTACAGCACACTCAAAGATTCATGAGCCTGGCACGGGCCATGCAGCTAGCTTAGGTTTAGTCCAAAGTCCAGACTAAACAATGCAACTCGGGAAAGTATGCACTAATCACCCAATAGGAGACCATAAACTAACCGGCCACCAGATCCACCAGAAGGCACCCAGTGCAGGAAGCAACACTGATGTTTCACCCATCATCTCCACAGCAGCATATTAGCACGTGATTAATTAATGCCTCCCAGTACTATATATTTCAAACAGAGGAAGGAATCTCATCATATGGGGCTGTGGGTCCAATGGAAGGGGGCGTCCAAAGCAGGAAATGAAATTTTACTGTCTTGAGCAGAAGCTTCTGCACATCAACTTAATTAGGAGGCATGTAATATGGAATTTTCTTGGTAGTTTACTTACTTCATCAGTGGTAAGAGGGAAACATTTCATTCATTACTTTCATGTGTGGTTAAGGAAAGTACATATTTCCGTTACCACGCATCTGCATATGGCTGCATCTGAATGCTGGTTCAGTAGCTTATACAGAAAACAGGGAGCCTGAAGAATTTCGATAACGGCGCACAGGATGCCGCATTGTTTGCTCAGAAAATAACATCAAGAAATTCCTAATCAGCTGATGTGGGTGCCTATAAGTTGCTGCCGCTTCTACAGTGTATCCTATGTATTTTTGGGGGGTTTCTGTCGGATGGAAAGAACTTTTGATCCTGAACCTGACTGATGATCTTAGTACTACTCCACCAGTGCAGAACAGCCCAAGGCAGCCAGGGTAAGGGCCTGTGCATGTAGCCTGCCAAGGTAGAAAGATAAAACAAAAGTAAGTATGTGTAGCTTTATCGTGCAGCCGCGATAAAGACGCACTTTCCAGGTATCTGTGAAGTCAAAACATGTATGATTCAACTGCACAGAAAGGCCATGTGAACCATACGAGCAAAGAGTGCAGATGTAATAACCCGAGATATTACTCTACTGAATGAAAAAAAACTGAATGCTGCCTATGCCTTAACGCAAACATGCCACAAAATACATCAATAAGACATCAGTTAACAAATACGATGACTCGAGCCCGCAGGGTGCGTTTCTTCTTAATAAGACATCAGTTAACAAATGCTGCCTATGGCTGGGTTGTTTCTTCTCAATAAAAATGCCACGAGGCTATTCCCTATTGGTCTATTTTTTTTTTCTTTGAAACACCGGGAAGTGTCTGAAATGGTTCCAAGTTCCAACTATACTGTAATCCCGTACTGGATTTCTCTCGGGGCGTCCGGATGCAACTCACTCTGTGCCCGAACGGAATTTTGAATGACACGGAGTCGGAGGTATCGGAGAAATATCACTGGTACCAAACGTGAATAGCATATGTAGCATCCTGGATCCACCAAACAACTCGCTCGGAGGGTCCGAGCTGCACAAAGTGCGACTGACAACTCTCTGGATGGAATCCATATACACAGAAGGTAAGCAAACTCTGGACATAATCTGCATCATGTCCAGAACTGCATTAAAGTGCAACTGACTAACTCTCTGGATGGAAAAAATTGAACTGCATTATCTAAACTCTGGAAATAACATGACCTACTATCATGAACTGAAACCAAAGGGTGGAACTTGGAGACGCAAAGTCGCCTTCAGCCTGTAACAAAGGCGCAAAGGAGCGAACGACTCAATTCAGAATCGTGTCGATTCAACAAGATTTAGTTCCTCTATAGCTCTGGAGCAAAACTGGCTGAATAACCACGCACTGTCTGAAGCACAACACGTTGGTCTTGTGGCATCACAAAAGAAACCACAAAACAAAACGAATTCCTTGGAACGTACATATTACAATGAAAAAAAAATTGTAGCCAAACCCAGCAAGGTCGCATATTCAAATCTATGAGCAAATCAGTGTCTGCCGACGCGCCCTGAATTCTGATGGAGCAACATATGCTGGCTAAGAGGTGGAGTTCCGAAATACAAAGTGCATTACTGTAGCTGCAGAGTATTTCTGGCTAGTGTATCAAGGAAGTTTTGAATAAGCTTCTTGTGGCCAACTTGTGATGAACAGCACAACACATCCTGGAAATTGTGTCTTGGGGTTCCTTCAGATGTCAAGGAAAAGAAAAATAATAATCTTTGTCAGTTCACAAGACTCAATGAATATCAAACAGCTAAACAGACTGGTTACCTGTTGATATGGCAGCAAAACAAATCACAAGAGGATGAGGTTCTGAAGTGAAAACAAACCTGTCGAGGAACTGGCATAAGGTCAGTTTTCTATACTTATATACAAAAAAAAAAATAGCACGCCTGTACATAACACGATCTATGGTAGAAGTATACCTCAAAAGCAGTACAAGTTTACAACTGTATCTGTTGTGCATGTGTGCATAACAAGCCACGAGTAATCAGCTCACATATTGGTCGTCAATTTTGACCTTTAACTTGCTTGACACTAGCGATTTGGATTGACGTTTCAGCTCCTCACTGCCCCGGAAGACTTTCAACTCCTCTAGAAAAGGCGGGAGGTCCGGCAATCCTGAGATGCTCGGACAAAATGAAATATCCAACACCTGGAGGGAGCGAAGTCTGTACAGGCCTGCAGGAAGATATTTGAGAGGCCTGTAATATGCAAATTGGAGCTCTGTGAGGGAACCGAGGAGCAGAAGCCCTCTCTCTTCCTCATCTGTCAGTCCTTCTGCTGTTGTTTTTTCTGCAAAACCACTAATAACTAGCCGCTGGAGTGATGTGAGTTGCTTGCAGAACGATGTGGCAAGGAAAGAGAAATCACTGATTTCAAGAAATTCCAGTCGAGGGCATAATTCGTAGTCCTGCTCTGGCAAACCCTCCAAACATGAATGCAAGCCACAGCAATCATGTAGAATCAAACGCCTGAGGCTGCCAAGGGATTGAAAGCCCACTAGTGTAGAGAGTGATGCACACCTCCAAATATCCAACTCTTGCAGTGCCGTGCAGGAGTACAGGTGTAGAGATTCCAAATACTGGCTTGCATGGAGTCGCAACTGCCTGAGTGATTGCGAGCCCCTTAGCATGCAGACTGCAGCTCCACGGATGACCAACTCTTCCATTGCCGTACAAGAGTGCAGCTGTAGGGATTTCAATTTTGGGACATGATATACTTCCATATCCCTGAGGGAACGGGATTGCAAGACCTCTAGTGTGCCGAGCGATTCACAGTTATATACCCTCAACTTTTGCAGTGTCGTGCAGGAGTTCAGTTGTAGAGATTCCAATTCTGGGCAGTTCTTTAAATTCAATTCCGTTAGTGCTGGCGCATGTTGTAGAATCACAGATAGCCACTGCCACGTTATTCCACATGAAAAAATCTCTAAATATTCAAGAGATGGGAGGGCATTCCAATTTGCAGCTGTCAAATCTTCATGGGTATCAGCTTCAAATAAATCTTCATGGGTATGGTCTGGTGGAACATTGAAACCAAAAGGTTCTGGACAGTCCACTATTTCCAGTCTCTTTAAGGATACAAGTTGACTTAATCCTTTGAATGAAATATACATTAGATTTCGGCAACGACTTATTGTCAACTTTGTCAGGAACCTTGGATTATGGAATGCCAAAATATTTCCATCTAACACTGATAGATTATCAGAGAACTTGTCAAAACGATCCTCACCAGAACCATATTCATCATCAGAATCAGACATCTCAGGATCCTCGCCGATGGTTAAACTTCCGCAGGACCGTGAATCTATTCTTGGAAATTTTGGAATTCCGCTCATGGAAATCCTAGAAACAGTACTTGAAGATGGTAAAGGGTGTGATACCAGCAAAAGAGGACAGTTGTGGATAATGAGTTCCCAAATACGTGGCAACCATGACTTCAGCTCAATTTTAAATTCATGGCTGTTCCCAAACAGATCAAACTCCTTCAGTACAGTGCAATTCTTAATTTTCAGAACCCTTAAACAAGAGTTCAACTCCCTCATAGAAGTGCAGGAGCATGTCTCCAACTTTGGCATTTCAATTAACAGCAGCTCCTCTAATGAAGGAACTGATATTTTTACTACTTTTGGCATACCTCTTAACTTCAATTTTCTAAGAAGCGGAAGCCTTTGCAGAGATGGAAGTATCCGCCATTTTCTACAGCTATCCAAATACAGAGTCTGTAAAGAGGTATTGCTAGCAAGCCAAGAAGGAGAGGTAACACCATTATATCCAGATATCTCAAGATGCTTTAGGTTGTTGTATGGTCTAAGACCCTCAAGCACCTCTGCCGGAGAGCACCCCTCATTTTCTATGCTGGTAGAAGGTTCAAGAACCTCATTCATCTGTGTTAGCAAGCGTTCCTCCATTTCCACGATGCTGGTAGAACTTGCAAGACCCATATGCACCTCTGTTGGCAAGCACTCCTCTGTTTCTATGCTGGTAGAAGGTTCAGAGCTCATGACATTCTCGCATTCATTGCTGTCATCCGAGTCAGATTCATTGTTGTCATCCGAGTCAGATTCATTGCTGCCATCCGAGTCAGATTCAACATCTGACATATTCCAGGACAAGTGCAGCTTTTCCAAGTGTCGTTTATATCTCAGTCCTGCCCCACAAGCCTCCTCCCGAGTTTTAACATTTTGAAGTTGAGAAATCCTAAGCTGGGCAAGATCGTTCATGGATTGAAGTTCTATAATCCGAAAGCCATCAGAATCATCTACGCTGAAATTGTTTAGTGTCTGAAGTGAGGCCAACCTGCCAATTCTAGCAATGGAAACTGCCACAAGATGGCGCAAACTGACAAGATTATTCATGCTATGAGGTACATTAAGGTAATTTGAGCCAACATCTAATACTTGAAGGTGGCAAAAATTGCTCAAAAACTGAGGCAAATCTCCTTGCAGCTCCTTGGCCGTTAGTTTTAGGTAGCGAAGATGAGTAGGATTTACAGAACTGTGCATGAGCGAATTAAAATCTTTATATGTTTTTTCTTCTTGAAATGTTGCAGATATCTGTAGCAGACGTATATCATGTGCCTTTTGGAATATGCCTTTGAAGGATTGGAAGAAGGAACAGTCATATTGCCCAATTAACAGTAATGTCCTCAGTTTTCTCACGGATGTAACTGTATTTCGCAAATGTTCTTTAAAGTTGTTACTCCAAGACACGTTTCCATGCTGCTGATATTTGTTGTATACTATTATCAAATGCTGTACAGTTGGCAATATATCATTGCATTGTAGACCATCTATAATTGCGCAGTCAGCTCTTGAAGCCATCTTTGCAAAATCATACATAAGACCAGACACAACATATGAATTTTGACTGACTAGAAAGGAGTCTTTTTGAACTTGCTGAAAATATCCCAGGTTCACCAAATCAGCCAGATAGTCCATTCCTATCTCCTCTAATTTCTTACTTGGATGGTGGCTCTGTTTGACAAATCCTTGTGAAATCCAAATACGGACCAACTCCTCGCCAAGAAACCAATAACTGTCAGGGAATATAGAACAATATGAGAAACATTGGTGTAGATGGTACGGCAACTGATCATAGCTAAGTTTCAAAGCAGCCATGATGCCTCCACTGAGCCCCACCAATTTCCAGTCTTCGTCCTTGAGAATATTAATCCAATGATCAACAGTAAGATCAACTCTTAATAGTTGCCCTGCAGTTACTGCTGCTAATGGGTTGCCTTTTAGCTCGCATGCTATTATTCGTCCAATGTTTGTTAGATTTCCATGCCCTTCGTAGTTCTCATCACCAAATGCTCGTTCTTTGAACAATAACCATAAATCGTCATCTTCCAGAGCACCTAACACAACTGGTTCAGTCGTTCCTATCCTTTTTGCAACAGAGAGATATCTAGTCGTCACAAGGATCACACTGCCATTTGCATTGTTTGACTTGAAAGGAGCAAGTATTAGGTTAAATCTGCAATCATTCAGGTCATCCCAGACATCATCTAAAATAACCAGAACCCTCTTTGATTCAATATGAGTTTTCAAGACCAGCTGAAGTCTGTCAAGGCTGCATAACCCTTTGTGCTTTTCTCGAGGGACAATATCTAACATCTCTCTTGTGATTCTCATTTCATCAAAGCTGTTAGACACCCAGACCCATGTGCTGTGGTCAAATTGGTTTTGCACTTTCGGATCATTATATACAAATTGTGCGAGAGCTGTCTTCCCAGCACCTCCAATGCCTACAATAGGCACGACAGTCACACTGTCAGATTTCCCAGCAGTCATCACCTTTATGATTGTGTTCTTCTCTTTGTCTCTCCCATACACTTTGCCTTGAAGAAGACTTGATGTTCTTCGGCATGGATCTGAGGCTGTACTTTGATGGAGAACTGAACTTGCACCAGAGTATAACCCGAGCATGTTTATATTCATTGTCACATCCTCTCGGATGTCATGCAACTGACGTGTTATTTCCTGCATCCTGCTGGAAAATTCGTCCTTATTCCAAGGGTGAGCAATAGCTGAGGTAATTTGTGTTGGCTCTTGATTCGTTCCTATTATTGGTATGCTGGAAGAATTAATGACAGCAACGGGGGTGGCATTTTCAGCAGCAGCATCTATGCTGTGAGAAGAAGAAAAATGGAGGATCGGCTATTAGAACGACAAGGGATTGTTACGCAGATGCAAATAAAAGCTTTCAAAGAATAAAACGAGATGCAGAATAAGATGTGCGTCGTGTTTTGAGTTTCAAATCGTACATTCGTACCTTGAATGGCTTGGCGGCTGGGGACGTGCTCCTCGCGTATTCTTACACTTGGCACTATTGGAGTGAGTCATCAAGACTCTTGGCCCTTGTTTACCGTCGTATTTAAGTTTCTTTTTACAGTGTCTACATTCTGCCCCCACGGTTTTTCCATCAGTGTCATATATTCCTCAAAATCAACCCAATGTGGGGACCTTTTTTTGCCACGACCTCTTCTCGGCAGTATATTATCACCATCGTCCATCGATGTGCCATGATCTACTCGCGCTGCTTCATGCATGCCTTCGGGCTCCTGCAAAGTAACTGCGCCAAAAGAAGAGGGCTATTAGCATGGTCCTGCTAGACCAGAAAAGATTTTACCGAGGTGGAGGTGGAGCAGAGGTCGTTGTGGCGGCTAACCGGCAGTAGTCGTTGCGGCTGCGGTGCAAGGCTGGGTAACACCGTCAGAGGCGTGGCGATTGTACGCATTGGACGAAGATGGCAGCGGGTCTTGGGAAATAGAAACCGTGTTGGCGACTGAAATAGGGGTAATTTGATGCTTGATGTGATCAACCACGTCAAAAGTTTGAATTCTAACTAGTACCATAAATCAAATTTTAACAGGAATTTGAAATACAATCGATTTCCAATATTCAAATTCAATACCTCCTTCGACTTGGTGCCGCAGCCTCCAGTAGTCGAGCTCGTCGACCAGGTCGTCGGCGTCGTACAGAAACCTTTTGAGATCGGCGAGAGATTTATCCAGCCGCGCGCTCTGGAGCGTCCTCCCCTTCGCATCGGAGGCCACCGCCTGGAGTACCTCGAGCTCGGACTTGAGGTTCTCGGTGTCATCCTGAAGCCCGGCTTGACGGATCCACGAATCCAGCTCACGGATTCCGAGGGTGCCGAGGATGGTTTGCAGCAGGCACAAGATCGCCGGCACAAGGTAAGCGTCCTCCATGGCTTCAGCTGTTTTGTGAGCCACTCAATGATCGCGCGGGGGTGTGGAGTAGCAGAGGACACGCGGTAAGGAAGAAGAGTCTGCTGTTTGCTCGGGTCTGAGCAGAATGGGCTGGGCCGCACAGCTAAGAGAAATGGGCTGCCAATGACAGGCCGGAGGGGCCGCGATGCAGGACCAGCCGAACCCGCCGCGCAGGACAGCACCTTCCTCCGCTGGATCGTCGGCGGCGCGGACGACGGCTCCGCCAACGCCGGCGACCCACCGGATCTTGACGTTGACCGCATGCTCCCTCGCCAGTCGCCACCACCCGTACCCGCCGCTCATTGGGAACGGGGCACGGCCTCCCGTTCACGCTCGCCGGCGAGGACGCAAGCAGCCCTTCTCAGTCCCTCGCCGGGCGCTGCCCTGCATCAGCAGCACCACCACCACCATCACCCGACGCACGCATTCCGCGGCGTCGGTTCCCCTCCTTCGACGCGGCGGCGTGCCGTCCCCCAACGAAGCTGCCCCGTTTCACCCGACGCACGCGTTCCCCTCCTTCGACGCGGCGGCAACAGCAGGAGCAGCACCCGATGCGCGGCGCGCCGTCCCCCAAGCTGCCCCCTTTCGCCGGCCCGGCTGCTGCGGCCGCCCTAGCCCAGCGGTGCGGCTCGACCAGGTTGGTGCGGTGCGGCTCTACAGGTTGGTGCGGCGCGGTGCGTCCGGTTCTACTCGGTTCGGTGCGAATAACCAGAGAAAACAAACCAGCCGATGTGGCAGGCGCAATCAGCACTGAAACGTGGGTAAAATTGGTAAAATGTGAAAAAAAACTGCTAAATAAGGTAAAATGTTGTCACAAACATGGAAATAGGGGGTAAAAATGAAATTCATTGTACTAGAAATGTGGAGATAAATAAAATTAGGAAAACACTCACATCGAGCCGACTGATCCACATGCAACGTCCGTTGAGGGTGCAAGTGCCGGATGAAGCTTGTCGTGCACCCAATGTTAGCCACATCCCCGCAGCCACCCGCGTGTCGTCAAACCTTATTCATATACCAGCCCACTTGATATGGAGCACCCTAGAGCCATCACCATGAACTTGGCTTCGTTACCAAGGAACATGCGCATCACATATATTAAAGTGAATCTTCTCATTTTCATGAGTTTACTTGTCCCATTCGAGGACACTACTTGACTCTATCTTATTCACACATGACGAGGAGTGCAATCATAAGAAAGCAACAACACCATATGCAGGGGAAGCTTGAAAGTGGAGACAAAACTTCCTTTGTAGTATCTTACTTTTCTTTATTATTGTTGAATGCTTGAGATCCATCAGTTTGCCCTCTGATTTATGTACTTGTGTGTGGTTCTTGTTCAATAGTGTTTTCCTCTTGTGTTTCTTCTCAATTTTTCCTTGGGTTCATTGTGTATTTTGTGGTCTTTTTCAAAATTCACCTATAATTTGTGAACATCGGACCATAGGTTTGGTCTTACATCACCACCCATCAATATCTTTTCCACTAAGCCACGAGGTCTCTGCTTAGCTCAATCATGTCGTAGCACAAAAAATCCTCTCGCCTGTTTGCTACTCTGTTCAACGCCCTCCATGGCTCATCCCACATGACTCCCACACAAAATCCTACTTGCACAATCTTTTCATTACCATCTGTTATGTCGACAAAATGATCCCATGCCCTGGACCATTTTTACCACGACCACTTCTCGGCGCTATACCATAATCGCGCCTCGATGAGTCATGATCTGCTCGCACTGCTTCATTCCTTCAGGCTCCAGCAAAGTAACTGCGCCAAAGAAAAGAGGAAATATTCCTGGCAAAAAAAAGAGGGAATACTAGCATGGTCTGTTGGGGATCGTAGCAGAAATTAAAAATTTTCTACGCATCACTAAGATCAATCTATGGAGTATTCTAGCAACAAGGGGAATAGGAGTACATCTACGTACCCTTGTAGATCGCGAGCGGAAGCGTTCAAGAGAACGGGGATGATGGAGTCGTACTCGTCGTGATCCAAATCATCGATGACCAAGTGCCGAACGGACAACACCTCCGCGTTCAACACACGTACGGTCGGGAAGACGTCTCCTCCTTCTTGATCCAGCAAGGGAGAAGGAGAGGTTGATGAAGATCCAGCAGCACGACGGCGTGGTGGTGGATGCAGCAGGATCCCGACAGGGCTTTGCCAAGCGCAAGCGGGGAGGAGAGGTGTTACGGAGGGAAAGGGAGGCGCCTGGAGCAAGGATGCGGCTGCCCTCCCTCCCCCCTCTTTATATAGGGGCCTTGGGGGGGGCGCCGACCCTAGGAGATGCAATCTCCAAGGGGGGCGGCGGCCAAGGGGTGGCTTCCCCCCCAAGCCAAGTGGGGGGTGCCCCCACCCCTAGGGTTTCCCAACCCTAGGCGCAGGGGGGGCCAAGGGGGGGGCGCACCAGCCCACCAGGGGCTGGTCCCCCTCCCACTTCAGCCCATGGGGCCCTCCGGGATAGGTGGCCCCATCCGGTGGACCCCCGGAACCCTTCCGGTGGTCCCGGTACAACACCGGTAACCCCCGAAACCTTCCCGATGGCCGAAACTGGACTTCCTATATATAAATCTTTACCTACGGACCATTCCGGAACTCCTCGTGACGTCCGGGATCTCATCCGGGACTCCGAACAACTTTCGGGTTACTGCATACTAATATCTCTACAACCCTAGCGTCACCGAACCTTAAGTGTGTAGACCCTACGGGTTCGGGAGACATGCAGACATGACCGAGACGCCTCTCCGGTCAATAACCAACAGCGGGATCTAGATACCCATGTTGGCTCCCACATGCTCCACGATGATCTCATCGGATGAACCACGATGTCGAGGATTCAATCAATCCCGTATACAATTCCCTTTGTCAATCGATACGTTACTTGCCCGAGACTCGATCGTTGGTATCCCAATACCTTGTTCAATCTTGTTACCGGCAAGTCACTTTACTCATACCGTAATGCATGATCTCATGACCAACCCCTTGGTCACATTGATCTCATTATGATGATGCATTACCGAGTGGGCCCAGAGATACCTCTCCGTCATACGGAGTGACAAATCCCAGTCTCGATTCGTGCCAACCCAACAGACACTTTCGGAGATACCCGTAGTGCACCTTTATAGTCACCTAGTTACGTTGTGACGTTTGGCACACCCAAAGCACTCCTACGGTATCCGGGAGTTGCACAATCTCATGGTCTAAGGAAATGATACTTGACATTGGAAAAGCTCTAGCAAACGAACTACACGATCTTTGTGCTATGCTTAGGTTTGGGTCTTGTCCATCACATCATTTTCCTAATTATGTGATCCCGTTATCAATGACATCCAATGTCCATAGTCAGGAAACCATGACTATCTTTTGATCAACGAGCTAGTCAACTAGAGGCTCACTAGGGATGTGTTGTGGTCTATGTATTCACACATGTATTACGATTTCCGGATAACACAATTATAGCATGAATAATAGACAATTATCATGAACAAGGAAATATAATAATCATTTTATTATTGCCTCTAGGGCATATTTCCAACAGTCTCCCACTTGCACTAGAGTCAATCATCTAGTTACATTGTGATGAATCGAACACCCATGGAATTCTGGTGTTGATCATGTTTTGCTCTAGGGAGAGGTTTAGTCAACGGATCTGCTACATTCAGGTCCGTATGTACTTTACAAATTTCTATGTCTCCATTTTGAACACTTTCACGAATGGAGTTGAAGCGACGCTTGATATGCCTGGTCTTCCTGTGAAGCCTGAAGGAAATATGCCCTAGAGGCAATAATAAAGTTATTATATATTTCCTTATATCATGATAAATGTTTATTATTCATGCTAGAATTGTATTAACCGGAAACATAATACATGTGTGAATACATAGACAAACAGAGTGTCACTAGTATGCCTCTACTTGACTAACTCGTTAATCAAAGATGGTTATGTTTCCTAACCATAGACAAAGGAGTTGTTATTTGATTAACGGGATCACATCATTAGTTGAATGATCTGATTGACATGACCCATTTCATTAGCTTAGCACCCGATCGTTTAGTATGTTGCTATTGCTTTCTTCATGACTTATACATGTTCCTATGACTATGAGATTATGC